GCCATATTTTTTCAAAATTTGAAAAATCTTCAAAAAAAATTAATGATTCACACTTGTTTCTTGCAAATTTTTGCAAATCTAGCACTCTAGGAATGAGGTTTGGAGTTTTAGAGTCATTTGGGGGGTGAAAGAAGGATTATTTCAGGGAAAAGAAGCTTGCTTTTCCCTTTTATTTTATTTTTTCCAGTTTTTGGGCGTATCTTTTTTGTTGCTACGCTACCGATACGCCCCAATACATCCCTGATACGGGTCTGATACGCATGAAAAAAAGATGAGACGCCTGATTTCCATGCGTATCCTTATGACTATTTTTCAGAACAATATGGAGAATCATATTAGTGTGAATCTCATGTTTCTAGACATGGCCAAGGAGATTTGAGACCATTCCAGGCAACTATGTTCTAGACAAGACAATGCCACAAGAATTTCCTAGTTATACCAAGATTATTTTTTTCTTCAACAAGGGGATAAAAATGTTGAAGAATATTATGTTTCTTTAAAAAGCTTAAGGAATGAACTTAATGATTATCAACCTCTATCCATTGATTTGAAGACACAACAAGAACAAAGAGAACATCTAGATGTTGCAAAGTTTTTATTGGGGTTAAGGTCTGAATTTGAATCGTTTCAAGCCCAAATCTTAGGTAGTAGTGATCTTCTATCCTTGTTCGAGGTTTTCTCCCACATAAGGAGAGGCTTAACTCTACATAGTGATCAATCCTCATCTTCAAAGAGATCAACCATGGTAGCTTCCAGAGGAGGTATGCGTGGTAGAGGTGGAGGTAGTGTGAGGGGTTTTGGCTGTGGGCCTAGGGGTGGACATGGGGGTGGTAGAGAGGCAGGAGGTGCAAGAGGTGGTGGTGGTGGTCATAGTTCAGCTCATGAGTTCTCACATTGTGGACAAGAAGGTCATATAGTCAACTTTTGTTATGATTTTTATGGCCTACCATCTTCTTGGGCTAACCATGCTATGGTAGAAGGTGATTTTGGGAGTCTTTAGTGTCATTGAAAATTCTCCTGCTTCTAATGTTGGTAAGGATAAAGACACAATCTCTATCTCATGTGTGGAATATGAGAAACTTCGCTGGTTTGCCTCTACTAGTACTACCACTGCTACACTTGTGAAGTCAGGTATTGCCTGCCTTGTTTCTAGTTCTACACCTTCATCCTGGGTAATTGATTATAGGGCTTCAGACCATATGATTGGCTCCTCAGATATGTTTTATCCTCATCATCTCCTTCTACATCGGTACATCCTAGATTGATACTTTAGCTGATGGATCTTCTTCCACCATTGCTGGTACTAGTAATGTGTCTCTTGACTTTGACCTTAGTTTGCACTATATTTTTTATGTTCCCAAGTTTCCCTTTAATCTCTTGTCTATAAAGAAGCTTACTCAAGCTCTTCATTGTTTAGTAACCTCTATCCTTCATGCTATGTCTTTCAGGATCTTATGACGGGGAAGACGATTGGTGGTGGTCTTGAAGTTGGAGGATTGTACTACTTGGATGACCATGCTCCTTAGGAAGCTCTTCATTCTTCTCTTGCCACACCAGTGGCATTGTCATTTTGGTCACCTTCTCTATGTGTCTTGAAGAAGTTAGTCCCTACTTTGGAGTCTAACTCAGTTGGATTGTGAGTCACGTTAGCTAAGTAAACATCATAAAGTGTCTTTTGTTCCCAGAGAAGATAAGAGAGTCTTGAGTCCTTTTGCTTTAGTCCACTTGGATGCTTAGGGTCACAGTCATGTGTCATCTTATAATGGATTCGGATATTGTGTAACATTTATTGATGACTATTCAAGAATGACATGGATTTACTAAATGAAGGACCATTTAGAATTGTTCTCTATTTTTCTATCTTTTCATGTTTTGAGAAGGAATTTGTTTGGTGTATGCATTAAAGTGTTTTGTTTTGATAATGCCAAAGAATATCTTCATAATAGTTTTCAGTCTTATTTTGACTCTCACGATATTATACATCATCCCTCCTGTTCACATGCTCCTTAGCAAAACGGTGTGGCTGAGAAAAAGATTCACCATGTGATTGAAATTGCTTGTGCCTTGTTGATTCAAATGTTAGCCCCTAAAATCTATTGGAGTGATGTAGTTCTCACTTCTTGTTTTCTCATAAACCATGTACCCTCTTTAGTCTTAGATGGTGAGTTTCCTTTTTATATCTTGTTTCCTTCTACTTCTCTCTTCTTACTTGTGTTCTTTGTTCACAAATTAGGTCTGGGCCATGATAAGTTTGACTCTAGAGTTATCGGATGTGTTTTCCTTGGTTTCTCTCATACTCAAAAAGGATACAAGTGCTATGATCTTGTTCCAAGGAAAGCCTTTGTTGCCCTGGATGTTACCTTCTTTGAGAGTTTACCTTATTTTTTTGGATGTGAACCTTCTCTTTCTATTCCTCGTCCCTCCAACTCCGGTGATGTCTTTATCCCCCTACCTACTGTGGAGGAGCTTATTCAACCATCGATTCACAGAGTGTACTCTAGACGTGATTGGCAGCCGGAATCATCATTAGCAGTTGATCTAGCTCTAGCTTCTAACACACTACCAGAGTCTTTGTTGTTGACACATCCACCACCCTCAGATCTTGATCTTCCTATTGCTCTTTGTAAGGGTAAGCATGTTTATATAGATCACCCATTTTCTCGATATATCTCCTTTGCTCATCTCCTTCACATCAACGGTTCATTTCCCTTTCATCCTTTGTTTCCCTACCATGTACTATAATTTGTACAGGAAACCCTCTCATCTCTTGACTGAAAGAAGGCGATGGATTAAGGATTTCATGCTCCTCAATCAAATAATACTTGGGATCTTACTTCCTTACCTCCTGGGAAGCATGCTGTTGGTTGTCAGTGGGTCTATACAGTTAAATATCGTCAAGATGGGAGTATTAAACGGTTCAAAGCTTGACTTGTTGCTAAGGGGTATACTCAGACCTATGGTGTGGACTATTTAGAGACCTTCTCTCCAATGGCTAAAATAAAGTTCTGTACAAGTGCTCATCTCTTTAGCTGCCCACTTTGATTGCTCTCTGTTTCAGCTTGATGTCAATATTGCTTCCTCCATGGTGATCTTCAAGAGATGTATATGGAGCAACCTCTTGGGTATGTTGCTCGGGGGGAGTCAAGGAAGGTATATTGAGGAAAGCTATCTATGGGCTGAAGTAGTCACCATAAGCATGGTTTGTTCGTTTTAGTAGTGTGGTGCAAGATTTTGGCTTGAAAAAAATGCAATGTTGATCATTTTGTGTTTAGTAGTGACTCTTCATTTGGAATAACCATACTAGCAGTGTTTGTTGATGATACTGTTCTTATTGGTAGTGATGCCAATGGAATTACTGAGTTGCAACAATTCCTATAGAAACACTTTCAAACTAAAGATCTGGGAACCTTGAAGTACTTTCTTGGAATTTAGGTAGCCCGATCAAAGTGGGGAATCTCTATCTCAGCGGAAGTATGTTTTGGACATGCTAGATGAAACTGGGTTGTTGGGATCCAAGCCAATTGAAACTCCTATTGATCCCAATATGATACTAGAGATTGGTAGGCAAGCTGATCTATCTTACCATCATTAGGCCTGTCATTTCCTTTAGTGCTAGGGTCCTCGGTCAATTCATGCAGAACCCTACAATTGTTCATTGGGATGGTGTTATGAGGGTGTTGAAGTATCTAAAGTGTGCTCTTGGTCGGGGGCTGTTGTATAAGAAAGGGGGAGACATGTCCGTAGTAGGGTATTCAGATGCAGGTTGGGCAAGGTCTGCAATGGAAAGGAAGTCTTTTACAGGTTATTGTACCTTCTTGTGTGGAAACCTTGTCACCTGGAAGAGCAAGAAGCAGAGTGTGGTTGCTAGGACTCCTAGGAGTAGTGCTGAAGCTGAATACAGGGCAATGGCTCATGCTACCTGTGAGATAGTCTGGTTGAAGGATCTTCTTAAGGAGATGAATATCACAATTTGTTAATCCATTAAATTGTTTTGTGACAACAAAGTCACAACACATATTGCCTCCAATCCAGTGTTTCTTGAAAGAACCAAATATATTGAAGTTGATTGTCATTTTGTGAGAGAGAAAGTAACAAGTATAGATATTTTTACTCCCTATGTCAAGTCTGAAGACCAAGTAGCTGATATTTTTACTAAAAGTTTGGGTCATTGAAGGATGGATTATATTTATAACAAGCTGGAACTTTATGATATATATATATATGTTCTAACTTGAAAGGGAGTGTTAGGATTAGTTGACAGGGGGATACTTGTTTTTTTCCCTTGTTATTTTTCTCTCTTATATCTGTTTTAACTTATCTAGGAGCATTGTTGTAATTTCAGCAATCAGTAAAATGTTAATACAAGTTGGGTTGACAGTGAGGAGGGTTGGTATGACTTCTCCTTGCTTGCCTTCCCTTTTTTCTTCTCTTCCTCTCTATCTCTCCTCTACTTCTTTCCTTTTCTGTTTTTTCTCTCTTTCTTTCACTTTATTTCTCTTACTGAAGTTGGAGCAGGAGTAATAGGACTTTCACCGTTGACATCACTAGTGTGAAAAGTCTGACGATGATGATATAAGTGATAGTTTTAATTTTCAGGCATAGGTTCTGTCATGTGCATGGTACAAATTACAGCTATAGATAATTTCCATAAAAGGACAAGTTTATTCCACTTTCCCTATTCAGTTATAGAGGATGCAAGTATAAAGAAAGGCAAAGAAAAAAGAACAGAAATGAAAGAAAGTAGCTAATATTAAGTAATCATTATTTAAACTACATTGAAATGTTCTGATTTGTATTTTTACCTGTTCTTGGGCTTAAGGTCTCCACTGTTAGGCGAGACCCAAGATGCATCTGGCCCAGATAGAAACAATTCTGGTGGCTAGTATTTTCTTGTTGAAGGAACTTTAGAATTGGGAAGTGGATTCATCTGATTTTGAACTGTCCTCAATGACATAGATTTCAATTAACTTGTTCTATTTAATTTTTCTTGTTTTGAACAGCTTGGAGTTTTCTCATCTCAAGTGTTTCAAGAGTCTTCCCGAGATAAGATTTGGAGAAAGAAAAACTGTACATTTTCTACTTCTCAACAGTCAATAATGAGTTAATTTCAGAATTATGTTATAGTGATTGTTAATGATCTTATACTTTCTTCTTGCAGCACCTACCTTTGACATAGAGAAGCATTGTAATTTGGAAATTGCAGCTCAAATTTCACAAGTCTCATCAACCCAAAGTGGTATTTGAATTGAATCCATCAGTCCAAATTTCATGAATCCCCCCTCTCATGTGTACATGGTTCTTATATCAGCAAAACTTACGTATAGCATGAGTTTATGCTAACATCCCAAGGAATATTTATTTATTCGACTATAAGTTACTTTCCACCTTCTGGCAGATGGGGACCAGGAACGTTATCATCTGCAAGGGTTAATAGAGAGTCCTTCTGCGGATGATGAAGGAGAGTGCTTCTCACCTATAGTATTAAATGCTACTTCTGTCAACATTGAAGTCTACTACAACAAAGCAGTTAACTATACCTTGATGGTCACCTTTGTATCCTTCAAAGAACATTATTGCTTTGTCTTCTTTGTTATGTTATCACCAATTTGTTCTTGGTGCTGTCCTTGACATTTTTGTCAGGTCTCTTTCCTTCAAGTTCTTCTGTTAATTCGGCAGATGGAGCATAGCAACACTCAATCTGTAAGATTGTTTCACAATCATTTCCTGTTATCCATACACAAAAAAATGGAAGATTTTCTGATTGTTGTTGAGGACTCCATATATGTGCATGTGTGTGTGTTG